GGCACTGGACGTGGTGCTAGCGTGCTTGAGATGGTCAAAGCTTTTGAGGAAGCTTCAGGGAAGAAGATTCCTTATAAAGTCGTTGCTCGTCGGGCCGGTGATCTCGGCAGTGTTATCTGCAACCCTGCTTTGGCCGAAAAGGAGTTGGGATGGGTAGCCACTCGTGATATGAAGACTGTTATGGAGGACTCCTGGAGGTGGCAGAGCGAGAATCCCTATGGTTACGATAAGGAGGCTCCCGAGAAAGATTGAACAAAAGATACGGAATCTGACAGATTTTTTCTGCGTGCTTTTTCGGAACCGACATAATCCGACTTCGTTAATCTTTCTATCAGTTAAGCCTCAAAGGCCTGGAGAGTAGTTAATATGAACTGGTGTTGTGTTCAGCTTTCTTCAACATGGACGCGTCTGCAAATGACTCATTCTGGAGCCAATGGGACAAGTCAGTTTACCAACCATGATGTCGATCGTGATAGGCGGGAGAACGAACTTGATAGTTCAAGGAGGGCGCATTGCCGTCCAGAGACCTCCCTCGGATGAACAGCAAGAGAACCTCATCTCTGTTGCTGCGGTTCCATAACGTGACTACTGTGGACGGCCTAGTTACACAGTATTTGAGAAGGTGGAGTGATGGACTACTTTGACGAGCCGAAGCTGTGCCTTTGAGTTGGTGTCCTCATCGGCGGCGGCGGGATTGAAGTTTCTCTTTCCAAGAAACGGCACCTCCCTAAGCTGACTCAGCTTAGCTGAGGTGCCTTTTCCCTGGTATGCTGTCCTCATGTGAGCTCAAGCACCAAATTAAAATCTTTACTCTCGTATGTGGAAGCCTAACCACCGGCATAGCGGCCCCATTCACCAAATAGATTCCTAAATAGTATAGCCCTCAGGCATAGCGGCCCCATTCGCTGAAGAGATTCCTAAATAGTATAGTCCTCAGGCATAGCGGCCCCATTCACCAAATAAATTCCTAAATAGTATAGCCTTCAGGCATAGCGGCCCCATTCGCTGAATATCTTATTCTTCATTCATAACGGCCGCATCCGCCAAATACACCCCTCCACATATTCTTAGCATATCCGGTTTTCGACTCGTGCACAGCCACTACAACGAGTATCATCTTGCGGCTCAGGGAGGTATGTACTTATGCTTTACCTGATATGACCTCCAAGTCTCAGAAGGGCCTAACTCTTCGTAGTTAGTGAGAAGTCGAAGATTGGTAAAAAGTTTTCTCCACATATTCTTGGCATACACGTATTAAAATCGCGCCTCAAAATACCAACGACTCGTGCACAGCCACTACAACGAGTATCATCTTGCGGCTCAGGGAAGTATGTACTTATGCTTTACCTGATATGACCTCCAAGTCTCAGAAGGGCCTAACTCTTCGTAGTAGTGAGAAGTTGAAGATTGGTAAAAAGTTTTCTCCACATATTCTTGGCATACACGTATTAAAATCGCGCCTCAAAATACCAACGACTCGTGCACAGCCACCACAACGAGTATCATCTTGCGGCTCAGGGAAGTATGTACTTATGCTTTACCTGATATGACCTCCAAGTCTCAGAAGGGCCTAACTCTTCGTAGTTAGTGAGAAGTTGAAGATTGGTAAAAAGTTTTCTCCACATATTCTTGGCATACACGTATTAAAATCGCGCCTCAAAATACCAACGACTCGTGCACAGCCACTACAACGAGTATCATCTTGCGGCTCAGGGAAGTATGTACTTATGCTTTACCTGATATGACCTCCAAGTCTCAGAAGGGCCTAACTCTTCGTAGTTAGTGAGAAGTTGAAGATTGGTAAAAAGTTTTCTCCACATATTCTTGGCATACACGTCTTAAAATTGCGCCTCAAAATACCAACTTTTACTGGAGGAGTATATCTATAACTCCGCTCCTGATCTGATGCTATACATCAACAGGAAGAGAATCGTTCATAATGGTATCCCTCCATGTTTCACTCCCATCATAAGTTATGATAACTACCAGTTTACTTATGAAACAGCCAACTTGAGGGAGCACAGATTCCTGATTGGGCTGAGTCGTTCATTATTGTGAGTGGAAAGTCGATTTAACAGTTCTCCAAATAGTCCCCGAGCTGATTGATATCAATCTAAGATCTAAGGACTGATTAGATTGAGATCTAAGGACTTCTCTCAGTCTATCGTTTAAGCTCACTCTTGAGGTACTCCAATATTCGAGTCTTCTGTGAGTAATGATGGACGACGCGAGTGACACGGCAAGTGGTGTCGCCATTCCGGTCACTCTATTTTCACATATCTTTCCTTGACTTGTGTGGGGCTTAACTCTGTAGGATGTGCAATATTTAAGAAATTGTGAACACCAATAGAAAACTCACACAGCTCGATATCTTCCACGCTGCCTGCACATAAGCTTCTCGAAAGCTCTATATCCTACCGCGACAAGTCCGTATATCTGTCAGCTTGGGACATTCCTAGCCTTTTTTTGACCATGCAAAACGACTTCGCGAGGTTCCTTTACCTTCTTGGAGAAAACCTCACGAGAACGAAGACGAACTTCTATCCCGTCCAGAAATATCGTTAGAAAGGCCGTTTCTAAGATTCCCAGTACGAGCTGTGCAGCCACTCCATTCGTCCATGTACTCTTGCTACAACTCAACATATGCGTATCGGCATATAGTGTGTTGGAAAGGACGTGTATGAACATGTTATTATCGCTCCCTTGGACGTAGTGCGTCCATCAAGAACCAACGACGAGCCCGGAAGTTGATGAATCTTCCTCCACACTAAGCTCTTGTGAGGACAATAAATGATTTCTCGCTGATAGGGGCTGTCGTGCTGAACAACTAAAGACTATACAGTCGACTCAGGCCATATCGTCCTTACACTTCTCGATAAACTCGTCATTCATTTCCTTCCTCTGCTTCTCCAGTCTCTTCACCTCAGCGCTGTTCTCATCGCATTGCTCTCGGAACTCTTTCATACTCCTCTCAAGTGCCGTCAGCTGACCTTGCTTATCCTTCACCGCCTACAGCATACGTTCAATCACATGAACCACGTCTTTGCTCACTTGTTGAAGTAGCAGTATCTGGTCATGGATCTCTGGTCCAGGTTGCCTCTGCAGCGCGGTTTTCAGTGACATGAATTCCGATTCTTTCTTGCTGATTTCCTTCTCTTTTTCAACAACTTTCTCCTGTCATGAATGTATTCAACAATTCCAATAACAAAATGTTCACCTGCGCTTGAATCAGTCTCTGCTGCAATTCACGAATTCTCTTCAACGCCTCAAATGTCTTCAACTGAATCACAGAAACCACTTCCAATTCAAGAATTGAGACCGACAAGAACTCACGTCCGAGCTCTCTAGTCTTCGCCAACGGTGAATATTCATCGGTTTTTCAAGTTCCTGTTGGAGCTTACTGCACTTGAGAAC